TTAACGTAATTAACAAGGTGAGGACAGCTAACTTTCACCTTAGCCGCCTACGCTTGGTTGGAGCCACTTTTCAATTTGCACTGCAGATTTTAGGTGCCGTATATTGCCAATTGTTACTCATGTTTCTTCAGTCTATTCTGGAGCCTCAATGGGAGGTGGTTTTAAGCCTGCCGCGACGATGTATTAGGGCAATCACGAGATTTGAAGGATTGCAATACTGTCTTGTGACTAACAGAACTGTGAGAACGGTTTATGGCAGTTCTGTACCCTTCGCTAAACTGATATTGTAAAGTACAACCTATCCGCTTCACGAAGATTTCACACTTACTCTCCGAGTTGCAGAGAAAATCAGTGACACAATTCCTAGTCTACACAATTATGAATTATCCTGCTAAAAGTAGCGTCTATCGATATCGCGTAATTATCTGATTACTGACGTACGCTGTATAGATTCAGGGATGCTGAAAGCAGAAGGTAGTATCGACCTTCACAGCATTAAGAACTGCTTAAATACATATATCATTATTTCGAGTTCTGAACAACATTGCTCTGCTCCTTGCATCTACATGCATAGGAGACCATTTTAAATACGTGCCCGTGGCGCCGCAGATAAAACGCTTTAACCCGAAAGCCTTATTATACGCTTAAAATGTTTGGTTTAAACCATCGGTTCTCAATCCCTGGTTCACGACCCAAATAAAGGTCGAAGGGATATGTGAAAAGTTCGCTCGAATGGTCCAGAAGAAAACAAACTTCATAAAAGGTGCTGTACATGGAGTTTGACTAAATTTGTTGAAATTCATTTTTCGCAATTTCAATCAACTCAATAAAATCTCTCAAATGTACAAGATGTATGAAGCAAACTAATGAACAATTAAAACTACATGCAACGGCCCTCTGGGTAGCCAGATCGGAAAGAACCGTACTCAGGGTCACGATCCAAAAGAAGTTTGCTAAACATCGGTTTACACCAACTACCAGCAGTTTACCAAAGGCCAACTGCACTAAAGCTCCTCCATGCTGCTACGTCAGTCAAAGAATATATAATGTACTAGCTTTATTCGTTCGCTGATACTTTCGAGAATTGAAGAACGACCATTTCAATCTTTCAGCATTTAAAGATATTTTAGATCCAGGAACGAAAGCCAAGGGCTATTACATTGTCATCATGTTCTGTGACTTACATGTACTGAACGGAAAGAAATGTTTGCAGCTGCTGGTATGTCGATTTTCTGTATAATTCGAGGAAAGATTTGATATATCACTTTGATCTATACCTCGAATGACGCGGATCATAATCTCCGTAATGAAGCAATCAAATAGGAATGCGATATGTATTTTTGAAGGCAGCCTGCTACAGCTAAGTGCTTACTCAGTAACCTTGGCCGCATTACTTGTCTTTCACCATTTCGAGGTAAAATCCATGGTCCTTTGACTGAAACCCAGTGCTCTATTGACGGAGTCGTACTTCCCTATATTGAAAAATGCAGGCTCAAAGATTTTGTTTTACTCATTTCAAATAACTTATGTACAATGAACAGAAATTGCGATGATAGCCAATGGTTAAACGCCTAGGTGGAGTATTGGAACAATCGAAAGAAGCACAGCTAGTTATCTGCAGGTACGAATTAAATTCCAATGCACACCGTAAAATTTATGAATACATTAATCATTTTTTAAAAAAAGTTGTTTATTAACGATTAATTGTGAAGTCAAGATCAACTGGCAAATTAATTAATTAAATAAGTCTCGCCGTGTTTTGAGTCTTACAGCTGGAACCTCAGATTAGCGTAATATCGAATTTTGACCATTCAGCCGTTACTGTTTGCTTCTTGTTCGAAAAGGCTAGTTTGGACACCATGTTTGAACACGATCGAACGCTTACCTGCGCCCTGAGATTCCATGTCGCTTTCGGTTGCCGAACCGTTAATCATCATGTTTACTTCGAGGTCGTTGACGCAGCGGTTAGCGAAAGCGATCTCGTTGCGGAGTGCTTCCATTTGTCGGTGACAGCGATCGATTTCTTCTGTCAGGTGATTAGCGAATAGACCGTTTTCATCCGCCTTAAACAACGCATGCATTAGCGAAGACGGTAACGGCGCCATCTCTCAACAACTCGGCAGCCGCCGTCTCGGTCCGGTTACTATAAGAAGGGCAACGAGAGACGGTAGTCACAAAAATAGCTCTTTGACAGGTACCGTCCGAAACGAACGGCCAATGGCGACGACAGAACTCAGTCATCGACGTCAAATATGGCTATGCGTGAAAAAGCCGTAAACCGGAAGTTGTGGTTCGTACAGACGAGTTGAGCACAAAAGACAAAAGACCTCAGTAGCAGTCATCAAAAGTGTTACGGTCATTACAGTCGATCAACTCGATCTTTCGATTAGGCCATGCGAGTCGTCAAACAGCAAGAAAACATAGCAACGTGTATGCGATGCTAAAGGTCATCTACAATAACGAGGCACGAGTACTGCTGTGAAATAGACTTATCCTTCAAAAAGCTAAAAGATGCGTCTCGCAGAAAAAGTTTTCGGGGGACATCGACACTGGTTTTATATAACAGTTTATACATCTTTATTGCTTGGAGAAACGTATTTTTTGTTTCTGCTGAAATCGAAGCAAGATCCGCATTTCAAGATGGAAAAACGCGTAGGGCAGGTCATACCTATCATCAGTTTGGATCATGAGCTCAAGTGGTACCCGGTTCGGCGTTTGAGAAAGTCCAACACTGTCTGAGAGTTGGTTAACTCCTGTTTGTAATCAAACTCAAAATAATCACACAAGTTTTGCCAAAATCCAACAACATTTTAAACTACTCCAATTGAAGTCTGGAATCCATTACCAGTCAAGGGCTCGTCGTCCAACCGGAGGTGGCGTAACTGCACAAAATTCGACGTATCTCACAAGTGGTCGCCCACCTGGGATATCTTTATAAATTATTACGTAATATCCCTGGAAAGCAGTAGACATGAGTTACACTGCCAGTCGCATTTTGATGCTGGCGTTGTCTGTAACAAAAACCTCAAAAATGCTAGTTTTTCTCAATCTTTCGGTTGATTGAAAG